AAACAACAATTTACTGTTTGAAAACTCGACCAGCGATCTAAGGACAAAATACTTAGATAAGGAAGATTAATTCAACCAAGACTGAAGACAAAGTCAATTATTGATGTTGTAAACTTTTTTTCCCCGCTGAGAGTCAGTGTCTGTGACTTGGGCTAGTTTTGACAGTAGGGCTTGCTCATGGTGTCACCTTTTGTCCCACTTACTACCACACTGTCTTCCCTAAAAGTTATCAGTTGCTGTCGGGTCTTGGTCTGCTGCACAAGGCCATGCAGTTTGAATATGCTGCCAGAAATATGTCTGGTGTAAATTTGACTCTGCTTTGTTTGAAGGCAGGCTGGAGAGAGAGGCAGCTTCATAAACACTCAAGGTCATAGATTTAACAGTGAGAGTCTGAAAACACATTCAGAACTTCAGCCAAGACAGATGGGACTCAGTGATGCACCTGAGGCCACCACAAAGGGAAACAGCAGGAAGGTGCTGTAATATATTGATTCCAAATAATAGAACAGAATAGAATAGAGTACAGAAACTATAATATATATATATATTTATATATATATATACTGTAGATACATACTTTACTTGACATTGGCTAATTTCTTGGCTCACCATTAGCTTCTTTAGCTATTTTTGCTTTACTCATTCTAATTTTAGGTGCTTTATGAATACATTTTGGGTAACTGCTAAACTGTTAGCTATGTCCGTGTCTACGCTTAATATTTATCAGTTTTTATTGACTTTCTCGGCTAGTTTGTAATTACCTTGGAGCTACTTTTAGCCATGAGGTCTGCTAATGGTTAACTACTTTGGTACTTTGCTGTTTTAAGCTTTGATTCAATTTTAACCTGTCTAGCATTAGCCACGAGCTGTCCTTGAGTTAGCCTAGTGCTAGTCGTAAATACTGATAAAATTACTGTAAATAATCTAATATGCATTTGAAGAGTATTTCATGGACAAAGACCCCAAGGTTGTATAATCATGTTGGCCCTATCCATGTGTTCTGTCTTCACCTTATTTATTGTTTTCCTCTTCAATCTGTTATCCATTTAATCTGTGCCTCTGCCTCCTCCTGTTTAAACAGTCATTTCAGTGAGTAATAAAGAAGGTTTTATGGGATCTAGTGTGCTTGTGTGTGTGTGCGCTTGTGTTTGTGCTGTGTCCCCGCACGTGCTGCTTGTGTGTGTGTGTGTGCCAGGAAAACACCTCTTGTGGTTTCATCCTGGACAATACCAATTATACTGTATTTATTTTTCTCTTTCAAATCATATTTCACCCTTTTCTTGGTATTTGTCTCTGAGCTTGTTCATTTCTTTCCCCCATTTCAGCACAAAATATAGGGGAGAGACATTGGTACTTTTTCTATTCTCCTGACCATCAGTCAGAACCAGTTATCTTCAGCCCATTGATCATACTACTCCATTAGAGCAGGGTTATAGCCTCCTGTGACCTGCAGAGGTGCTGTGGTCACATCTCAAGAGACTGTGGAGATGTGTTTTCTAAACCCAGTTCAATCTAACTGGACCTTTACACCCAGCACACAACAATATATATTTCTAATCTGTGTACGGTACACACATTGGTTATTTAAAGGCTGTGTTTAATTCAATTAACCCCTGTTCAAAACGTGTTGCACTTTTGTCAGTTAACAATCGATTTCCTATTTTAAAAATAAGACTTTTGATCTATTGATCTGTCCTGGTTTCACAGAGACCATAAGACTCATGGAACATGGTAAAATGGTTGTCATAAACCCGAGGAGATACTTTGAATTATTTTCTCACCAGGACACCAGGTGGCAGATGTTGTTAGAACTGTAATCCTTTCCAGCGTGGAGATCAGTTCATAACTCCAGGGGGAGAAGGGGTCTGTCTGGGTATACCTGTTTTTTCCCATAGACCAAAAACATGCTCATTATTGGAGTAGGTTGATTGGACACCCTAAATTGACCGTCGTTGTGAATGTGAGTGTGATTGGTTGTTGGTCTCCCCACCAGTGTCCCCTGCTACTCTACAAAAGAATAATTGGTAGAATGGATGGATGGATGGAATCTCACCAGACTGCAGGCTCTGAACTTGAGTTTGTCAGCAAAGAAAGCGGTCAATGAAACCAGATTAGACTTTGTCAGCTGAGGAGCTGTTTTCTTGTAAACAAGATCACGACTGAAGAGGAGTTAATAAAGTTTCTGCCACTTAGAAAAGAGACGCAGAAGGCCCCGGTCAACTGCCTCCGCATGTGGTTAGTTTGTAAATTAAAATAAGGATTTCACTGTGAATGTTCAAAAGACTGATATAAATTTAGTGAGTGGTCTTTGAGGCTGGTTTCCTATTTTTTCCTGTTGCAGATATTTAAATGGAAAAAAAAATTGAGCATGAGATCCCCTCTAATGTCCCCATATCATTTCTGGTTGTTTTCCTCCCACATGTACTATTTCTGGCAATGTTATTATTTTTATTCCGCCTTGTATTGCCTCAACGTAAAAATGTGTGTAACAGAAATCGCTAACAGAGTGAGGAAGAGGTAATAGAGTGAGGAAAGTGGAAAATTGAGATGGTTGTTGGAGTGCGTTCAGGCTCACTGACAGGAATATTAACCGTGTTTATCTCTTTGCTCTGCTGCGTCCGACACTTTGCTTTGTGTTGCTCGCGTTCGTGACTTGTCAAGACTAACGTTTTTCCTCACTGTAACTCTGCTTATAATCAAAACCATTCCTCTGTGTTAAACAATGAAAACAAATGAGTTCATAATAACAAAACTCCTAACCAGATCTTGTCTTGTTTTCCTTGAAAACTTTGAATTACATTTTCCTTGCCTCCAGCGTTAAACACCTGCTCCAGTCTGACAGGAGATTACAGAAGCTCCAGAGCAGATCTTTCATTTACCTCACAAACGCACAGAGGGAGAAAATTCCTCAAGCAATAAATTAGGAGCTGCAGTGTGAACAACAGGGAGGTTTCATGGAAACAACAACAGATGCAGGAGTTTGAAGGTGGAGAACACATTCAGCTCCTGCATCTAAGACTGACAGAAACAGCAGAAGAAACAGGTTCTAATGTTTTATAGAAACATCAGTGATAAAAGGTGCAATTCAATGGCTGCAGTCAGCGCTGGCAGACAGAGGCAGTAGTTTTTTTTCCCCCACAACAACGTTGGTTAAACACCACTGTTGTTGTGGGACCATTATCTGCACATTAGGTGATGATGGGGAAATCATTTCTCTGTGTCTCTGTGTCTTCAGTCCAGTGCCACTCTGACTGTCTGTCCTGCTCTGAAACCATTGACCACTGTGAGAAATGCAGGAACCCCAAGTCTGTCCTCCACCTGGGTCGCTGTCTGTCCTCGTGTCCTGAAGGTTTCTACCTTGATGGATCAGAGTGTCAAGGTAACACTGACCTGATTACATGTTGGCCTTTTTTAATATTTATTGATTATAATCATATATATTTGTAATATTAAATTATTTTCTCATGCTTTTTCATATTGGTGAGTTTTAAAGCCTTAATGTTTAGACAAGATGTGGTTTAATTACAGGATAGAATTAGTATTAAGATGTATCATATTTTTATAATAAATATCTTACGATTTAAATACCAAGGACTCTTGTTATCCTGTCAGTTTGATGTTTCATCTTACTAACTAAAACGTACCAGTAATGTTGGTAATGTGGCTGCACACGGCCATGATATGCTTGTCCACCACTGTTCGCAAACTTCACTGCTTAACTAGAGAAAGGTGATGTCAAGGGTAAACTCAACGTTGATTGGATGTCGTCTCAGACCTCTTTCGCCTCATTTGCATCACGTCAGAAGCTCCAATCGAGCTGTCTGATATTAAATTGCACCATTCTAAATTCATTGTGTATGTGGAGTTGCTGTGCACCTATTGCTTTTGGTGTGAACAGACCATTAGTGTGGGTTTTTGTCTATGTTTAGTTTTAGCAGTTTCTTTTGTTAAATTGTTTTATGACTAAAATCCATGCTATTTCGAATATTTTAGCGAGACTTTACAACTTTTTGCTTTCTAGCTGTAAGTAAATGTTTGTTTGTGTCAACCCCTTTTCTCAGCCTGCCGCTTCTCTTGCGCCTCCTGCTCCAGCGGTTATGACTGCCTTTCCTGTAGCCCGCAGCGACCCTTGCTAAATGCTCAACATGACCAGTGCCTCGCATCCTGTCCCCAAGGCTCCTACCAGCACGACCAGTCACACTGTCACAGTGAGTGTCACGGATCATTGTGTTTATTAATGAAAATCTGAAAATCTGTTTGAACTCACAGGTACATAGTAACTACTAGTCTAGTGCTGCCTCTTGTGGTCAGTTTGTGTCATTAAGTTAAATCATAACAGAGGATTTGTAACAGTGAAACAATGAGACATTTGACACTTAGTAGTCCAACAGCTCTGTGTCTGTGAGGTAAAATCTTTGCAAACCAGTTTTCCGCAGAAGAACTCATCAAGACATTTAGAACAAAACAGTTTACTTTAAATTATTTTGCTTTTTTCTTTACTTTTTTTCTGCAGACAGTAAGTTTTTCCCAATCAAATCAAGAACATTACACCTAAAAAGTAATTTTCTGGGAGCTCCAGTTAGAATTACTCTATTACTTTATACATTAAACTGTATTTCTCATTTATATCCAGTGAGATTAAAAATAATAGTTTCTGTGTTTTATTTTCTTCACTATAGCATATACCTTTATTTGAAACTGTGTTCCCTAATGACTGTGTTCAGGAAAATATGTTTTACATTAAGGTTTACAACAACATTTTTTTTTTTTTAATTTTCTCTTTTTTTTTTTACTAAGATTGGAATTTGAGCGTCTGTGGTACAACTAAAATGATTTAGTGCTTTAAAAAAACAAGATCTAATGAATATAGATTGTTTAAAACTTTTAATTATTTTGAAAAATGTAATTTTGTCAGTCCATCGTGAATTAGCTCTAAATTTAAATTATTTTGAATTAGCCCTAATCCTGGATTAGTGTGTAGCAGAATTGAATGCTTAGATCTATAGTTGCTTTGGCTGCAGGGGACGCTATATAAAAACACAATGTGTGTGTACGTGAGTGTGTGTGTGTGTGTGTGTGTGTGTGCGCGTGTGTGTGTATGCCACTATGATTAAATTCTGCTGCTAAATTTTACACCTTAATGAAAGCTTTGAAGAGGATTTAATCTCCAGAACATCCCTGCTCTTGAGGTGTCGGGACTTAAAGTGGAGGTGACACCCAGAAACGTGATCTGAGGATGTAACATATAAAAACAGATACTATGACAGATTTATTTTTTGAAAGTGAATTATTTCATAAAGGACTAAGAGAAAGCCAGGCACCTTTTCCTGGAGGCACCAAGAATGTGATTTAAGAGGTGGAAGAAAACCTCATCATTTCGCTAAACTCTCCAGGCAGTTCATATATTATATATACAGTATATACCAAAACTGAAACAGATCCAAATTAGTGATTAGTCCTTAGTAAATTTATTAATTTGGTTAATTTACAAAAAAATATTTATTATTATTTTATGTATTTTTTCTCGTACATCTATATCTGCATTACCTACAAATTCTATGTAAAGAAAACACTCACTTTAATCTGTATTTTCATTTTTGCTTTGTAAAACAAAAATGAAGAACATAGAAGAATCCTATACTGTAATTTGTTCTCATTTATTTTGAAAACAACCTAGTGTTAAGAAGTGATGACTTATGAGACAGATAACTAACCACTGTCTGTCATCAGTAACATTCAGCAGCTCAATGTTTGTGTTTTAATTAATCTTTCACCACAGGAATAAAAAACCAAAACAGCTATCAAACACAAACACTTGTCTTTCAAAAACATGAAAACATCAAAAACAGAAAATACTTCCCTGTTTTTTTTTAGGTTCTTTGATCATTTAACCCACAGGAAAGAATCATTTTAATATTTGTCCATGTATATAAACAACATATTTTTCATCTCTTTTTTATTTCCTCTTTGGTTCTTATGCAAATATAACTACTGATCCACTCCTTGACAGCTGATTCAGCAACATTTTTTAGGTCAATATTTACAAGTCGGTTCTGTGTCATTTGGTCATGTTTGCCATGTTTCTTTACCTTTTAGCGGTTTTACGGGGTGGGGGAGTGACCGTTTGTGACAGTCCTATAATTCACTTGCTGAACTTCTGAAATCTGAGAGTACGTCTTACGCCAGTTCAGCTGCAGGTTTAATCTCCATTTCTCCAAACCCCTGCTTCAGTGCAGATAAAGATTTTATTATTAGTGCTGTGATTGAGAATTTCGAGATTCTCACACTGACAGGAAACGTGAGTTAAGGGTTTTATTTATATGTCTATTCGTGTGACTGATGTTCCGGTTGAGGTTCAATCTCCGGATAACTTTTCAGAAATTTAAATTGGTTTCCACACAAGGGCAAAAGAGCATACCCCTGTGTATGCTGTGTGTGTATGTGGTGTGTGTGTGTGTGTGTTAAATGCTGAAAGTTTACTCTTTTCAGCGTTTTTTTGCTTCTTCAGCTAAGTGTATCTTAATAAAATCCCAACGGAACAGGATTAAGTCGGGATTACTGTACACTGTTATATTTATGGATTTGATGTTGGAGGGTGGAAACATATTTTTTGTGCTGCCCATTTTAGTGTTGCTCATCTCTTGTAACCACTTTAGAAGTTCCGTGGAGGCGTGAAGAAAGCCAATGACCCACTGGACTCCTGAATGGATCAAGGCCTTTGGCAGGGCTGGTTCTGCCTTTGCTAAGGCTAATGTGCACTTCCTTTCCTCTGGACGGCCACTCTTTTTCACGGCCAATGGCAATGATGATCTTCTGACTTTTGCCACGTCCAAGGTGACTGAACTCTGGTCTGTGTGCCACCTAGCAGTCATCTATGAGTTCATGATGCAGGTACATCATATTCCTGGATGGACCTTCCTGCCATGGCTGCTGACCAGCCCCTTGAACCATTAAGATTCTGGCCAGACGTTATAGCCGCATGCATGTGGACCTGCTGTAACCCCTACGTTCCTTCTGTGTTTTTGTGCATTTGGTTGCTATGGTGGATTGTACCACCAGGTGGCTAGAGGCGTTTCTTACTTTCTTTCTTTCTCTACTCTCCATGATATTCGCAGATATGGCATGTTCATATCATGCCTGAGTCACACATTTTGGAACTCGGTCTCACCTTGAACGGCGGTCGAATTTTCTCAGTTTTAGAGCTCTGGTCAGAGCTGACAAGGTCCTTGAGCCAGCAGGTTCATTGTGTTGGATATAGGTGGACGTACAGAGCAAGTCATTTTGAAAAGGCTCAAACCAAAGCATCTTGTGCAGGATGACGTTAAGGTTTTGGACCAGGACTCCAGGTACTGTTGGGTACCATCTCCTTCTGGGATTTTGGTCATGTCTATTAAGGCTGATGGTTCTGGTTTCCAGCCTGCACCTGTCTGTGCTTTGACCGCAACTGATTTTACCTGCTGTATTGACTGGTTAAAGTCACAGCTGTTATGTATGGCAGACTGCTTCGCTCTCCAGTGAGGGACTGGTTGTTTGGGGAAGGAATGAGACTTAAGGGAATGTCTCTCCCCCTGCAGGACTGTGGGCAGAAGTCCTCCTTTTGGTGCACCGTGGTTTTCTGATTCAACCCTCCTTCAGCGTGTTTCCTCATCCTGCCTCAACTTTGTTTTGTCTTCACTCCTGGATTGCTTTATTTACCTCTGGCTAAACTCACTAAACTCTGTAGTAGCTACATTAAATTTACATGTAATTCTAAAACAGGTTATTCTAAGAACAATTTTAAGCTACACTGGCCAAAACCTACTATTTCTTAGAGAAACTATGACACATCACGTTTTCACCAAATGTCTGCAGTTGTGGCTAACAATTACCATTTTTATTGAGTAAGTTTGCCTATCTGTACAGAACATGAGCTGCAGTCCTGACCCAGAGTCCAATGATGACTGCGTTAGTGTGTGTGGAGAAACATGAAAGACATTTTATTTCACTAAAAAATCAATATATGGACACTCTTCTGTCTAAAGTGCATGGGATGAGATTTTTATTGTATGTGATTAAAGTCAACACCTGGTTATTTTTAGATTCTGCTGCCCGGGTTTTTATACTCTGTGTTAAATCAAGTGAAGTCCAGCAGAAATGAGCAGCATGTAATTATACAGCGCAGAAGAAAGAGATCGTGAAGAAAGAAACACATTAGAGTTTAAAGGATAGAGAGATTGGAAGAAATGAGATGCTGGTAGGAAACAAGAAATGAGGAGAAATGTGGAAAAATGATGCAGAGAAACTGGAGGACAAAGAACAGAGAGCATCATGGGACGATCAGTTGGGTGGTTGGAACAAGGAAACAGGAAATGCTGAGGAGAATAAAAATGAAAGGACAGGGAGGTTTCAACTGTCACTGTCAAACTTCTTCAACACAGAACTTTCTCCCAGCTAAAGGTTTAGGATGACGAGTGATTTCTTGTCTAAATTTGTTTGACAAGACTAAAAAAATAACTAAAACTAACTTACATTTAATTTAATAAAAAAATAAACAGATACAAAAAGTCATTAATGCCAAAATATTGTTGGCATTTTATTGGGATCAACAGACAATTAGTTATATTAAATGAATCACCAGGTAGCTGTGTTATTATTTGTGTTTTCTCATGGCATTTTCTTTTTCATTTTTTATCTTCAGGTTGTCACGAATCCTGTTCAGACTGCTATGGTCCAAGTTCTGAGGACTGTGTATCATGTTCTGATCCTGCTGCCCTGCTCAAAGACAGACAGTGTGTCCAGGACTGTGGTCCAGGGTTCTACAGCCGAGACGGAATCTGCTACGGTAAACAAGAAACTTTAATCCACACTGAGAAAAAGTCAGAGCATATTGAAAACCAAGGAAGTTCAAGTTTGTCAGAGAGAGATCAATACGAATCAAAAGCGGTCCGATGCAGTACACACTTACTTTTGGGACCAGGACTCGACTGAATCTAGACCATAGTTAAGCTTTTCCAAGAATTTTAAAGACCAGAAGCCTTATTTATGTGAAAAAAGACCAAAGACCAAGTAAAAAATGGAATGTTAGTGCTGAAACGGTGCATGTATTTCATATCACATACAACACCCTTTTATCTAACACTGACAGTGTGTGAAGAGTAACCATAGTAAAGCAGAGTGGAAGAAATGTCCAACATAACACAAAGGTAACAGAATGAAATTTCTACATGTGACTTATTTAACTGCGTCCAATATCAATTTTGCATCAGTTAGTGGATAGCACATGTAAATCAAATCCAATGGTTGCGCTGTCTTTCCGGTCAGCTCTTTGGAAACACTATGGCTTTTAGTGTATTATAGGTGCGATAAAGAAAGGCCATTAAATTGGGCAAAGGGAATGTGTCGTCATTGTTAGGTTGAAATGGGCCATTCAGATGATAACTAATTTGAAGTTGTGGTTAATGACTGGTACTAGAAAAAACTCAAGTGCATAAGCAGTGAAAATGTTTGAGATACACACATCAGGCGAGGAGGAGCTGAGGGAGTCAGTGTACCAAGATGTATGACGTTATCATTAGCAATGCTCAGGGAAGATTTTATTTCGGTTGATATATAAAGTATTTTATTTGTTTGAGAGCGCAACCATTTACCATTTTGACATTTATTAATAAATGGCATTACTCTTTTTTTTTCTCACCACATTTCTTTTGGTACCATAAATGTACTGAGCCGTGATGTCAATGCTAAGGTATGTAGTGATAAAGAAATCCTGAGCTGCTGGGATAGAGATGACTTCTGTTTTCATAGAACTGTAGGTGAAGGTTTGTTTTCCCCCTTTAAACAAAAGACCGTAATTACTTTGGTTCCTTTCTGTGTGTTGAACTAACAAGGATCTGCAGCAGCAGCAGATCTGAGGTGTTTGAATATGAATGTTTCTATTTCTGAAGCCGGGATAAAGAAGAACATAAACACATCATGTTCCCTGAGGAGCACAGTGAAAACAAAGCAGATGAGATCTTGTTTTTGCCTCACCTGCGGCCTTCAACTCTTGTCCTCCTCCACATCTTCCTTCTCCTTTTGCCCGTCTTTTTTCCTCCTCCTGTCTTCTGCTCCTCGTTCTCTGTCTTCTCCTTCCCCTGGTCTGTAAATGTCAGGAGATTGTGATTACAAAGTTCATATCCATTAGAAGTTTCTCTGTGACTCTTGGTTTAAAATGTCAAACATCATCATAAGAGCTGAAGAGATTTTAACCTTTATGTGCTCTTTTCTTCCTCAGGGAGTCCCCCCTGTTGCTTTATTATGTAAGCTTCCTGTTTTTATCCCTGCAGCAGAAAAGACAAGGCTGAAAAGCTTTTTAAGGGATTGTAGTGTCTGTTTAGGTAAAAGTCAAAGACATGTTTCAACCTGTCAGTTTAAAGGAAAAGGAATTTGGCCCAGTTAACTCTGATTTGCTGGACATTTTGGTTTGTCTCTTATTTTTTATATATATATGTCTTTATACTATTTTAACCAGGTTTCTAAAGACAGAGAGAAATAAAAGTTGTCGCTGTTTTTATCAGGTTGTTTTGGACTGAAACATTACAGCAAATACAACAGGCTAAAAAAAGCCACCTAGCAACACAAGCTCTTTATTTAAACGATTGTCTTGTACAAAAGGTCTCTAAACAAATAAGGTCTGATGAATTTACACCTACGTCCAAAAATACCTTGTTGCAAGTGAGAAGTAAAGCTGTGGCACTTTAGAGTAAACTGATAATCAGTTATTCATACAAATTAAATGTGGTGTTGTTGTCTTATTAAAAGAACCAATGAGAAGGAAGGCTGAGGCACAGAATAAAAATCTAAAAAGTCAATTAAAATCATTGACTCGTGTGAATGTGATTTGATGAAATCTTATTTGTATCAATATTGGTCAATATTTGTTCTATAACTCCCCTTTCTCTGCAGTAGGTTGTGCTACGTACACATTCTAAAGCCCTGTTTGATGAATGTGTTTTTTTGATCTTATCTCCTAAACAGTATTATGCCAGAAAATATTGCAGAAATAGTTTCAGGGAAATAACCCATAATATCTTATATCACCTTAAACTCAGGTCTGTCCTGAAGGGACAAACGTTTCCCACCAAAATATGGTAAAATAGATTATAGTTATACAAAATTAACTAAGACGTACGTGTCAAACTCAAGGCTCGGGGGCCAAATGCGGCCTGCCAAGCCGTTTTGTGTGGCCTGCGGGAGCTTAAAAAGCATTTAGTAAAGTCCATGCAGCAGAGTTTCTTAACCTAAGAAATTAAAAAAAATATATTATTACACAGCAATAAACAATATTTGTACTTGAATAAATAACAATCAATAGCAGAAACATGTATTAGTCTGTTATGGAGGAGCTACATCTATACCAGTGGTCCCCTTAGTTACATCTATACCAGTGGACCCCTTAGTTACACCTATACCAGCGGTCCCCTTAGTTACATCTATACCAGTGG